CGCCACCTGCTGCTTTGGCATGTTCCTAGCAGCGTTTTCCTTCATTTCTGCCTTTACGTGTGGACGGGATTATTTTTTAAAACGAAAATACACGTGTATGTGCGGACATAGCCTCAGTTTTGCTGCTTTAGTTTTTGTGATGCCAATTTGCGTATACTCCAGAATCTCAAGAAGAAACAAACAAACTGCAGTTCAGCACTGCAACATAAAGCATCATTTCAGGGATCCTCTCATTTACACAGGTGCTAGTGGACAAGGCTGGAGATCACTCTGTCACGTTGGTTGAGTCTGAATAGCAGACAGGATCCTTTAAAAGGAGAGTGGTGGTTAAAATCATTGTTATTTTTCTCTGTTCACCATGGTTATGTGCAAGAAAACTTCATAACTTTGCATAAAAAGGGCTTGTCCAGAAAGGCTGTTGCTGCCAGTAACACTGCACTCAAATCGACAATTTACCGAATTATTGAGAACTTTAAAGAGAGAGAACTTTAAATTGTTGTGAAGAAGGCTTTGGATCACCCAAAAATGTCCAGAAAGTGCCAGGACTGTCCCTTAAAGATGATTCGATTATAGGATCATGGCATCACCAGTGCCGAGCTTGCTTTGGCATGGAAGCAGGCAGGTGAGGGTTGGCACTTTGCAAGTTTGATTCAGACTCAATGGGCCAAACCAGACACTTGCTTCAGGCCACAGTGGGTGCTACGTTCCCCTAAAAAGGTCCAGGGGATTAGGGAAAGTAACAAAATGGTTAAATTAACAGGTTTTATTCATGTTTCTATTAGTAACTAAACTAAAAGAGACGGACAAGCCGCTATCACCTTTTAAAGAAAGAAAACACCAAAAGTCAGGTGTTGTTCAATAAACTGAAAATAAGTCAAAAAGGGTTAGTACCAAAACACACTCCTCTCCACAGAGCAAGAGCAATCAATCACCACACACACAGCTCACTAGCTGCAACACAACATGGCTCTCTGGCACTACAGCTCACCTTTCTCTGGCCTTAAGTATTCCTAATTGCTCATGGGAGTGAGCTGTAGAAAAAAGGTGGCACCTAAGGCAGGAAAGGTCAATTTCATAAGGAGGCGGCCCTGCTACGGCCGTAACAGTGGTCACATCCACTGTAGACTGCAGTTTGGTCTCTTGGTTCCTCAGTGATGATCCTTGACACGAAGGTCAGTGTGACAGACGATGATATGTGCTCTCTGTGCAGGTTTGAAACCATGCGGTGAAATCACAGATGCGCATGCGCAAGTGGTCAGAACAGGACCTCTAGGAAATGATCTAAAAATAACAACAGCAGTGCTGAAAGCAGTGTGACAATGCTCGAGATGACCTTGAAGTTGATAGCAACTTAATTTGCATTAGGAAGTGGGATTGGTCTTCATATGGACGTTTGACTTTGGCACGGACAGTGCTACACCTGTCAAGATAAATGATACATCACTAGGGATGGGTATTGTTTAGGTTTTATCCGATACCAGTACCAAACCGGTACTTTT